CTATGGCATTAAATGAATTTATATAGGTTTGAAATTTTGTATGTGAATTTTATTTAGTGAAAAATATTGAAGAATTCCATATTAGGGTAAAAATATTTTTATTTTCTCCTTTTGTTTTTTTTTTCGGTTTCTTGTTTTTGTGACCTGATGAAATATTAATTTTTGTAAAACAAGCTTTGTATATAACAATCAATTTTTCAAAAATCAAAAATAAACAAAACACTTTTGTTCTCATAGTAAATTCAATAAAATATTTGAATTTTTTTGTTATCCTTTTTTTTTTTTTTTGTTATTATAAAATTCCTTTTGTATTATATAGGAACTTGTAAAATTCTATTGTTTTTAGAAATTTTCATATTTTTAAGTGTTGCAATTTTTTTATATATAATTTTATACGCATACATATATACATCATATGACATGCACTTATTATTAATTTACCTATGTATAAGTAGATGTTGTATTAAAAAAATCACTAATCGTATATACAAAATAATTCATGTAAAAAATGATTTATGTATTAATTATGTGATAACAGAAATTAATAACAATCAATTTAATGTAAAGAAAAGGATATTTGAAAAATTTATTGTTTGTAGCTAAAAAATGTTATTGAAGCACAAAATATGAACATTATGAATTCAATTAGCAGTGACTATTGTAGAAATTTATATGAAAAATATTAGTAAAAAGTTTTGTTATAAATTATTTTTCTATTTCGAGCCGAAAATTAATGTAAGACTTAATTCTTAATTCAAAACTAAACGGTAATCACATAATGTACGTAAAGAGCATTGTTGATGTTTTAGAGAGCATAATTAAAAAGAGAATTTATTTCAAAGAAAGAGAATTTTTGAAGAATAGTGCGTATTTCGTGAGCATTAAAAATAATAGAGTTCATGCCTTAGTGCCACAACAGGAAACCAATAATAGAATTCAAATATACACGGTATTTGTGAATTTTTTGGCGAATATTTAATTTTTTTTTGTATTCGAACAATTTTTATCGAGTTTTTCCAATTTAACTTTTAAAAATTCAATATTATATTTTAATGTCATAGATATTCTATTCCTAGATTCTTACATTATACTTAAAATTATTCCTAGTTCTTAAATTAAATTATGTTTAATGTAAAAATACTATGCAAAACTACGATCGAGCAGCGACAGAGATCAATCACGACAGAGTAATATCATAGCATTTATGGGGATCAATTTTAGAATTTCTTTGTAAACTTTTTTGAAATAATCAAATAAAATTGAATGCTTAATGCCAATATTAAAATGCAACGATTTTAGTAAAGAGGATATTAAAAATTAATTGATCGAAGCCGGTGACAGACTCTTATATCAGCAGTCTTATATAGTTTTTTCTTTGCTTTGTGTACCGAGAACCATAGACCTCCCAAAATCTAACAAACTCTTATATTAAGAGTCTTGTGTAGTTTTTTTTTCCCATGTGGGACCAAGGTTCCCAGGAACCATTCTGAAATTGACTTATAAGATCTTTTGTGATTCCAATCCCCGTCTACATTAGCACAATATAATAAGCCCCTTACAAATTTGCAGTATAGCAGCCACGTGAAGCAACGTGACCTTCATCGGGGTCACGTCATATATTGGTAATTGAAATTTTTTCACTTTGGTTTAATTTCCTTTTTTTCTTCAAGATAAAGTACCTGCTTTTATTGTATACCTGTAATTATTAAAAAAAAAAATTTTTCATTTTATTTTTAGCTTTTATCTGTTGCTGTAATATTTTTGTCTCTTAAAACAATTAACTATAATAGAGCAAGAAAAAAAAAACATCATTTTTTTTTTTTCAAACTTAAGAAGGAAGTTTCATTATTTTTTTTCTCAGTTCTTGGTATTCATCCTTTTTTTTGTTTCTTGTTTAAATTAATTTTTTAACAGTTTTTGTTATTGATATAATACGAAACCAAGCATCTTTCAAAAAAAAAAAAATATGAAAACTTTTTTATATTTTTTTTTTGTCCAACAATTTTTCAAGTGATGAAAATTTTTATTTGAGTAGTCTCACAAATTTGGTATCACGTTTTGAATTTATTTATTAATGCAATTCGAATGGAATTCTTTTTCATAAAATTTGTAATAAAGCTCTTGGTTTATAAAACAGCACACGTCGTTTACTTTCGCTTATTATAATAATCGACGTCTGGAGATGTGTTTATACAGTTTTAGCTCCTAATGAATAATGAAAATGATTCATTAAATTAATTTTTTAAATTTAAAGAAAAATTGCATAAATTTAGGAGAAATATTAAAATAATAATTCTCAGAAATTTTACACTAATTCCACAAATCTTAGATACCCTACCAAAAACGAAATTGGAACTATTATACAATTTGATCTAAAAACACTGATTATTCTAGTGAGAATAATTAGCAAAATAAAGTAGCTTTTGATTGCTCATTAATTTAGATTAAGTAGCAAGAGTGTAGTTAATACCCTCTTTTGAACAAGAGGATTGCTAATATTTTTCTGCTTCTTTTATTTATTACTACTTATACCTACATAAAAAATTAAGATTCTTCAGAGTGGCCGTGTCAGGAAAAAGCCGATCTGAAAATCAGCGACAGAACGAGGGCGAGAAGGCGAGATTAATTTGTAAGATTAATTCGACGGTCCGCAATTTTTGGTCACGGATTTTTATGATAGAATATTCCATAAATTTTATGATAGTAATTTCTGCGATGACTTTCCTGCTTTCACAAAATTTAAAAATTGTTTTTCACGAATTTGCTGGCTATAATATGGAGAAGAGAGAGAGTGGGGGGCTATAACTCATTTCTGTTACTTTTCGATATTTCAATAATAATCTTAATTATATAAATTTAATATAAAAAAAAAAAAACATCTATATAATAATTGAACTTTGTCGGAGGAAAATTAAAGAAATAAAAAAATTTACAATAATAACAACAAAGGAACAAAAACAAAACAACAAAATCAAAACAAATGAATGAAAAAACGAAACAAAAACAAAAAAAAATTCGCCGCGGACAAAACTTTTAATTAAAAAATTTGCTTTTAATATCCTGTCGTGAAAAATGGCAAAAGCAAAATCGAAAAACAAAAAAAAAAAATATTTGATACAATAAAGAGAATTTGGTACTAAAAAAAAATTATAAAAAAAATCCGTACCAAAAAAATTCCAATAAAGCAGGATTCAGGATATAAAGAGCATGTAGAATATGTAGACTATATTATGATAGAAATTACGGAAAATTAACAAAAAAAATAGAAATAAAGTGGGCACGAACAAGCGAACATCACAAGTACATTTTGCCGTAAGCAAAACTTGTAGTCATCAAATAAAAAAAAAAAATTTAACAAAATTTTTTTAATTAATAACTTTTTCCTTTCCTGAAAGAATTCATTAATGATAATTAATCTTTAATAATCCTTAAAATGAGAAATTAAAGAAAAAAATTCGAAATATTTTAAAGACAGCCTAGAGTTTTTGATGTTATTGTTTTTTATATGTTCTCAGAATAAAAAAAAAAAGGTAAAATATAACAGTTGCAATTTTTTTTAACGTGATAAGAAAAATATTTAAGGATTATTAAAAATCTATTTGAGCTGGTCAAGAAAATTTCAGCGCAATTTTAAAATAATAAAGAACAATTTTTGATAGTCAATATTATTAATACTGGGTTGTATGCCTATATAACTAGATCCGCTCTAAAAAAAAATAATTACTTCTACATTTAAATTTCTAAATATTTACGGAGGGGCGGTTTTTATTATAAAATATCAGCAATAAATAATAATTAAAATATGCGACAGTTTTTTTTCATTTACAGAATCATGATATTAAAATATCCAAAAATTTTTGAATCTATCGAAATCCTTTACACTTTTACCCTTATTTTTCATTTAAAAAATTTCAAATAAATTAATATATTAGATATATAGGACAAATATTGCTAATATTCATTAATATAAACAATCTAATAACTATAGAAGAATGACACTTTATTTTGCTAATTATTCTCACTAGATTAATCAGGAAAATTTGTTTAAAATAGTGTTTTTAGATCAAATTGTATAATAGTTCCAATTTGGTTGGTAATCTAACATTTTTGTGGAATAAAAATTTTAAGAAAAATTCTTCTAATATTACTCTCATATTTAATAGTATTCCGAGTAATGTGGAAAAGCAAAAATTTAAGCAGCACAATATTGTGTACATATAGTTTATAGTGATATACAGAAGACAATTATTGTAATAACATAATAGAACTACTTATTTTTTTGAATGGCACTGTTTTAAATTAAAAAAAATTAAATATTCACTAGCGCCTTTCAAGTAGAGAGGCGCTAGTCAAACAGTAGCTTGTATGTAATTACAACTACACTTTGTTACAACAAAAAAAATGGTCTTCTGTATACTAGACCTATAAAATGTAGGCACAATAGTTGCACCTAATTGTTAATCTTATAAAATTTTCTAATATATTCCCGTCAAATTCGGAGAAAATGAATAATAATTAAGAAATTATTATATTACCAATCATAAATCATACAAATTTCATCTAAAATTGACGAATTTTCGGAAGAATCAATTAGAACCTTATTCAATTATAGAATTAATTAATGTAATTCAAATAATTTTGTCTTTTTAGAATCGTTTATTAAACAATTTTATGATTCAAAATTATGTGGTCTTGTTGAATTAATTATGTGATTAATTAAATTTGATATTTTAATTTAAAATTTTTTAAATGTTAATCCAACTAACTGCATGTATAAAACTGCAAAATTTCAGTTCTTGCATTACAATTAAAATAATTAAGATTTTTTTAAACTGAAATATTTTCATTTATCTTATATTGAATTAAGAATTTTTAACAGATTTTTTTAACAAATGAATTGAAAAAAACAAATTATTAACAATAATATTATTAAGTGATATGGGAATTTCGACAAATAATACCAATTTAAAGAATGTCATACACATATGTATAACAATCTCTTAATATCTATGTCTGTATCTGTATTTCTTTACAGTTTTGTAACGATAACCATCATCAGCTAAAATATGAGCTGGTTCTGCTTCAACAATAGAATCAATATGCTCTACAGCTGCTTGTTGTGGTGGTAAATATTCACTAGATGGTGCAATTTCTTCAATAATTTGTTCTGCAGCTGGTTCTGATACAATAGCATCTTGAACTGGTGGCAAATATTCTGATGATTCTTGTATAGCAGTTGGTATTTCTTCATGATGATGATGTTCTTCTATAACATGTGGATAATTATAACCATCTTGACCAGCTAAATGTGAAACATCAGCAGTAACAGTGGCAAAAACAGCAATTGCAATTAATAAATATTTCTAAAATAAATTGAAAATTAATTTTTTGAAATTTTTGCATTTTTTTTTGTTTTAAATGATTTCAAATATTTTAAGGTTATTAAAATGAAACTATTATAAAAATAAAATATTACCATTTTGATTGATTTTTTTTTTTAAATGGTTGTTGATTGAATGAAGGTAAATTTGAAATTGACACCATTTAAAAAATTTGCAAACTTATTTATATACGGAATAAAAGCCTAAAAATTTACAATAATTTTTATGTAAAAAAAAAAGAAAGAAAATAAAAGTTTTTTTACTTTATCTTTACTTTTCACAATAAATTCCCCATTTAATATAATTTTTCTGACCTTAGATTGTATATTTACCAATGGCTATCAAAAAATTGAATAGTTAAATAATAAATAATATATGTATACATAAAATTATTGAATATCTACATTGAATTTCCTATAAAATTAAAATCTTCAGAAAAAAAAAAATATTTCTGTACAAATAACAATTTGAATTTTTAATTAAAGTTTGACAAACAAACAAAAAGAAAACTAAAATAAGCAAAAAAAAAAAAATCTCATTTAATTCACAATTAACTTTTATTTACGATATTTTTTTTTATATTTACATTTTGTGCTCTGATTTTGAATTCGGCAACATTTTTTTTAATATCGTTTGCCCATTTTAATTATTTTATTGCAAACATGCGTCACATTCTAAACCGGTTTCTCGTTTTCTGTTTTTTTTTTTTTTCTAATTATGAGAGTCTATATTAAAGCATATTATTTATTTTAATCTCTAACTATTTATATATTAGGTATTAAAGATGTGCCTCACGTGACAATGACGAAAAAAAAAATTAATTATATTCAAAAATTAAGTCAGAAAAAATCGATCGCAAAGAATTTTTTTAAAAAAAATCTGATGTGATCAGCACATAATCGACTGCAATTGTATTAGATAGTTTAGCGAAAGTGTTTCAACATATTATAAAATTGCCCTTTGAATACTTCTTTCAAATTTTAAGGAACTAAATTTAATTTACCTCTTAGTAGAATTTCACTTTAAGCCATCCGAATTTCCAGCTACTTTCCGGTAGTAAATCGGTAGAAAATTTCGAAAGTTACTTTCAGTAGTAAATAGAACTCAAATATTAAATTTCAACACGTTCTATCAATTATTTCCTTTGATATGTTACAAAATGTTAATGCGGCCCCTAGTGCGGTTTGCGAATATATATATGTTAAAAATGCATTAGTTAATTGTTGTAACGCCCTGAACTTATATATTGTAGATTTGTAGACTTGTACAACGGAGGCAACGGTGCAACGCGACCTCGTCTGTCTAAAACAAACGCTCGAGACCCACCCTCCTCATGAACTCAAGCAACTGATCCCCCAGCACCTCTCCTCTCCTATGAGCAAGAGCATCACACTCCCCCAAGAGGTGCACCGAGGTCTCCTTATACTCCCCACAGAATTCGCAAGTATCCTCATTTTCCAGACCCTAAGTCTACAATGCTCCGTCAAAATGACGGTGAGGACTCTCATCTGATTCTTGCCCCTCCCTATAATTTTCTGGTGATAATCTCCCAGGAGCTCGTTGGCTTGCCGCAGCGCTGGAAAACTTCTTCAGCGCTCCGACCGTCTTCTTTCTGATACATTAATTGATTATTTATTAAATAAACTGATGAATATTTTCTTAAAAATGATGAAAAATGTAAAATCTTCCCGTAAAAAGATTCAGTCCTCGGGGCCTGACATATCGCAAAAGTTGATCAATTCGTGCCATAACCATAAAATAAACTCGTATTTAAATTTATATAAAATCGTAATAAGGGCGTGCACACATAGACTGACAAACCGCAGATCGACATCTTGCTGAAAATTGTTTAATTACGTTTGCCCACCATGGAGAAATGTGTTCTCATCAAAACTTGACATCTGAAATTTGATGCCATCGCATAGCCCCCCTTATTGTATTCAATGAGATCGGTAAAAATTATTATTATGAATTAATAAATTTACGGTAAAGATCACAAAAATTATTCGTTAACATTTTTATTTAATCGTAAATATAATGAAAATGACAATTTAAATAGATAAGAAAAAAATAATGTTCCTCGTAAAAATTTTAATTAGTAATTGGTCTTTATACTCGTACGCTTTTATTAATGATAAATATTTATGTATGTATGTGTGATACAAATTGATTAATGAATTAATTGCATTAAAATATTTTTGTATTTAATAAAGCGATTGAATTGCAACATATAAAATTAATTTTCATTGAGAAAATTAATCAAGACGGATCTTATATACTTAGAATTCGACTGTAACCAAAAAGAGTATTACCAGTAATAGAAACGTCTATTTGCAAGAAATTAATATGAAAATCAAAAATACAAGAAAAAACTTGAACACATGAATAATTTTTCTTAATGCAAGTTCTACAGCAGAAAATTTGCAGAATTACAAACTTAAACAAACAGCTTTCAACAACGGGATAAGACTGCACTTCTAATTGAATTAAAAATTGAGATTCTTAAAACATGTTGCTTTAGGTGTTGTTTATTTCTAGAAATTCTGCCAGTATAACACTATCTGCACCATTCAGAAAACATTTCTACAATTACACATATTTACTTACATTCAGTAACTGTTTACAGTAATAATTCAATATTTATTTATTAGGAAAATAGTTTTCTGTTTTAACAACAATTACATTTAATAAAATTTACATTACTCGAAATGTAGATAACATAGAAAGAGTTTCTAAGTTCAGGTTACAATTCCTGCATCTACGCCAATTGTACCCCAGTCTATTATCTAAAAATTGCATTTTCTAAATATTTCTTAAATTGTACAAGAATTACGTGTATGCAAAGCAATTATTATACTGACAGGTTCACTCAAAAATTTTTGTAACTTTCGAATTATTTCGCAGAATGACGTTCTAAAGTGTTTTAGAATTTTCATAAAAAAATATAATATTTACGATTAAATAATAATATTTTGTAAATAAAAGTAAAATAAATAAAACGAGAAAAAAATGGAGTGGACCTTGTCAGCTCTGTGATAACCCGTACGAATATGTTATTCTATGTGCGAATAAATATGCCATTACTGGCTGTGGGACAGACTATGACTTTAAGTTGCCGTCTTACCATATTAATTTATGCAAAATTTCAGTACTATGTGTTTTTCAAAATACTGTGTGTGCCAAACTACTATTGAAGTTGTATGGCAAGTACCAGAAGTAGCCAAGTAATTTCAACGACTTTTATCAGACACATTGGCCCTACTAATATATTAGTTTGTGTGAAATTTCAATACCATAGCTTTTATAGTTAATAAATTTTGAAGTTGTGTGGCAGCTGCCCGAACCAGTAACCCGATCGAATTTAAATAGGGTTCTGGCACTTACTACAATAAATCATTTGTAAAAATTTGGTGAACTTAGCTCAATTAGTTTTTGAGTTATCGGACGGACAAATGGACAGACAAATTTAAATCAACTCAGAATTCGACACTGATCAAAAACATACACTTGAGTCTATATCTAAGACCGTTATTTCTTAGCGTTACAAACGGTAAGGCAAATTTAGTATACCCTTCGAACATACGTTTATACGGGTATAAAAATTTTATTTGTTTACTAAAATTAATTATAAATTCTTCCAAATTTACGCAAATTTATTGACGTTTATAAAAATTTTAATTGAATGATTGATTTCAACTTAAGCACACATATAAGAAATTATAAGGAGGCATTTTACATATGTTAGGAAATTATCTGCTGTTGACGGTTTGAGAATTAAAATTTTTTGAATTAATTTTAAAAATATTTTAATATTGTAGATGGTACTCGGAAAATATATTTCAATAAATTTGCATTGAATTTTTAGAAATATAAGGAAAAAATTCATCTTTGTCTTCCATTGTAACTTGTTAAGCTAGCATCATAGAGCTGTGGAATTTTAACACGGAAATGCTGTCGATAATCGCTCTTTTTAAATGATAAGTTAAATTATAGTGTAAAAGAATATAACTTACTGGTTTCTGTTCTCATTTTGGTAGCAACGAAGAAGCTTATTTTGAAAGTAAAATTTATTTACTAAGTATCTATACATTGTGTCGATTCTAGTTTAATTTTCTACAACTTGAATTTATTTTGTGTAACATTAAGATTATAATTTAATTTAAATTTTATTTAGATCTATAAGACTTAGAGGAAATGATAGCGGATAATTAAAATAACCGTTCATCATTTTTAAAAAATAATTTTTGTATCAATGATGGCAAAATTGCCCACGTTTTTGTTTTACCACCTTGAAAATCACATTTAAATTATAACAATTATTTAAATTTCAAACATGAATAATTATGGTAAAAAAAAATAAATAAATAAAAATTAATTTTTGAAATATTATAAAATAAGGCTATAAAATTTGTGGTTTTCAAACAAAATTTTAGGGGCTTGTCTCAATCTATTTTTAGCTTTACTTTTCTTTTCGTTTATTTTATTTAATTCAAGTCGATATCAAAGGCATTACTAATTGATTCATAATATTTTTTTTGTTTTTAAATAAAATATAGTTATAAATTTTAAGGTCAATTGAATTAGATTAAAATTTTTTTTTTTACGAATTGATATGAGTATAAATAACAACGCGAATTCTTCAATCTGTATCAGTTCAAATACGAAATTTCTCTATTAAAGATCTTATCTTAAAGAAACAACTGTAAAAAAATATCAAAATGGTAAAATATAAATACTTGATAACACAAAATTTTTGTAAATATTTTCATATACATACGTTTTTTTTGTAGAAATTCCTTTTAGTTGCAACCTTTGCCTTATTTACTATTGTTGCCGCTGATGTTTCACATTTAGCTGGTCAAGATGGTTATAATTATCCACATGTTGTAGAAGAACATCATCATCATGAAGAAGTACCAACTGCTATACAAGAATCATCAGAATATTTACCACCAGTTCAAGATGCTATTGTATCAGCACCAGCTCCAGCAGCACCAATTGTAGAAGAAATTGCACCATCTAGTGAATATTTACCACCACAAGAAGCTGGAGAACAAATTGATTCTGTAGCTGAAGCAGAACCAGCTCATATTTTAGCTGATGATGGTTATCGTTATAAAACTGTTAAGAAATACAGATATAGATATAAATATTAAAAGAAAACAAATAGTCAGTTATTTTAATGGTCTTGTCGCCATTCAATAAGAATTTGTTATAAATATTATTGAAATTGTTATTGTTATATTATGAATAAATTTTGTGTTAAATGTTTTGTTTCTCTTAAAGATTCTTGTTTATTTTTTATTTTTACTATCGGAATTCAAAGATAAATAATATTGAACTTTAATTTTTTATATTCTAACTGGAAAAGCTGTACACTTCAGTTCATGTTGGCAGATCTTATTTAGATCTCCAAGTACTCCCATACTACTCTCATATACTTCCATATTCTCCAAGTTCTACTCATATATTGTCAGCATGAAAACTAATTTTGCCAATAATCAGAAACTGACATAACCTAAAAATACAATTTAAAATTTATAATTATAAAGTTAAGAGGGAGGAGTCAATGTTAGTTAATATTTTTATCATTTTAAATAAAATTTTCAAAAATTTTCTTATTATTTTAAATAAAGTTTCAAAAATTTATTGTCATTTGTGCAGTGCTATCAACTATTTTTAAAAGAAGAACTGATTCCTTCAGTTTTTAAATTTTCTGCTTTAGAATATTGCTGACAAAAGTAGAATTAAGTTTTAGTATTAGTAGTAGTAGTAGTAGTAGTAGTAGTAGTAGTAGTAGTAAGAGAGGATGCTCCACCCAACAAAAAAGGCCCATCGGCAACCCACAAAACCAACACTCAACAACTCCCATGCAATCCGACCCCCAGACCCCTATCCAAACCAGCCAACCTCCCTTGCGAAGCCCAAAAGCCACGCGATAGACACCCCGGACAGGTCCCCCAGGCCGTCATAAAAATAAGCCCCCAAGACACATTTTCTTTTCCACATTAAAGACGGACAGGCACAGAAAACATGCTCAAAATCCTCCATCTCCGACACATTCTGACATCCACGACATCCATCCGTCGTAGCGACTTCAAGCCTTCTGACCATTTTCCCCAAAAGGTAATGCCCCGTCTCACCAGTGTGCTGAGATCAGCCCTACTATACCTTAACAGCAACCTCGTCCTTCTTTTGTCCCTGATAGGCCACATTGTTTTGATCACTCTACGCGTGTGAACCTCCGCCCACAAAACCCCACTCCTTCTCCTACACTCACCATCTATGAAGTCAAGATACGCTCCTAGTGGGAGACGCACTAGATTTTAGGAAAATATATTATTAAGCTAACCACTGCTCATTATTCAAAATCTTCTAATCTTTTCTCATCAACGCTTTGTTCGTCACCCTAAAATTTGTCATTTATTCATCAAACACACACCTCTTACAATACTTTAAATCCAAAAGTTCTGTTTTCGAAAAGTTTTCCATAAATTATATATTACCATATTATATACAGAGAAAGAATGAAATAAGAAAATCAAAAAAATAAAGAGCTAATATGAAGGATAACTGATGCAAAGCATTTAATACATACACACCGACAAAAATTTAAAATTCGAAACATATGGCACCTGCCGATGATATTTTGATTTTTGTTCTTGTTTTTTCTTTTCCTTTCGATTAAATTTTTTTACTATTTTATCATTGGCTTTTTTGACTTTTATTAGGACTATTCAAATAGGTCGTTGTATTCCAATAAATATCCTTTTTTTTCTATTATTAATTCTTATATATTGTGATTGTATGATCCTTTTTTTTTCAACTCTCTGTTGTGTATTTTTTGTTTGTATTTTTAACTCTAGTGAATAATTTCTTTATACCGTATATTGCCAAATGTTTTGAATAAAAAAAATTCAAACAATATACATATTATACGGCTACCATACCGTTGCATCCCAAAAAATTTTAATTTTTAGTATAGTCCCTTGAAGTTATGATGTGCCGGGTATGTGAAGTACAGAAAATTTTAGAAATAATTTAAGAAATCTTTTACAGTTTGCAATGGCAAAATAAAATTGTACTAAATTTTGAAGATAATAGAAAACCTTTTATAAAATATAACACAGCTGCTTAGTATTGTGAGAATATAGTAAAGTTGTTTGAACAGAGGAAGCACAGATGGTGTTATGCTTATCTCTTTCTTTACTTTGGAAATAACAACAAAAAGAGATAATTTTTACTAAATTTATTACAATAATAGATTTTTTTAAATAATTATCGCTATATTGTAATTATTTAAGCACACCACCTCAAATAGTTAGTATGCAATCAAAAAAATAACTACCACATTATCTGAGGCACCATTCGAGATTATATGTGCCTCAAAGATTTCACTCAAATATACTCAGAAAAAAATGTTCATTCTATATGAGTATATGTTCCTATACGAGTACCAAAACCATTTGCAGGAATTAAAAATGACTTTAAGATCATGTTACAGGTTCTCAATATAAAGCCTTTAAATTTAAAATTAACGGCATTTTTTATACACAAAAAAATTATTTATTGCTCTCTCTTTTCACATTCTTTTAATTGTCAGGATGAAAACTTTTTCCATTCTAGAATATTATTAACAATACCTTAATATACAGTAGAACCTGGTCATCCATATGTAAATATCATTCAATATATAGCCAGTGGTGTATGTGAAGTGAAAATTGATTTGTAACAAACTGTTACACGGAAAAAGGGGTAATGGTCAAACCAGACAGAAAAAAAAATTTTTTTTTACTTTATAATTTTTGGGTCTTTTTGAATTTTTACAATTTTTTATTATTTTTTTTTTTTGCTTTATTATTATTAAAAAGAAATTTAGCGTACTTTCCATTAAAATGAATTTATTAAGAAGTCAACGTATGTGTATATTGGGACCATGGAATGAAAAACACAACACTTTCGAAGATTACGATTTTTTTTTTTAAATGTAAAGAAAACGAGAAAAAAATAGAATTGACCCTGTCAACTCTGTGATACCCGTACGAATTTGTTATCCTATGTGCGAAGAAATATGCCATAACTGACTCTGGGACAGACTATGACTTGAAGTTGCCGTATTATCATATTGATTTATGCAAAATTTCAGTACAGTGTTTTTCAAAATACTGTGTGTTCCAAACTACTATTGAAGTTGTATGGTAGCTACCAGAAAGAGCTACGAATTTAATGAAACACATCGGCCCTACTAATATATTCGTTTGCGTGAAATTTCAATACCATAGCTTTTATAGTTTCTGAGAAATGGGATTAAATAGGGTTCTGGCACTTACGGCAATAAATCATTTGTGAAAATTTGGTGAACTTAGCTCAACTAGTTTTTGAGTTATCGGACGGACGAATGGACAGACAAAGCTAAATCAACTCAGAATTCGACGCCGATCAAAAACATATACTTGAATCTATATCTAAGACCGTTATTTCTTAGCGTTACAAACGGTACTCTTCGAACATGCGTTCGTACGGGTATAAAAATAGCAAAAAGGACACTCGTTGTGTACAATTTTCATTTTAAAAAAAAACTTTTGTACTTCTGTTTTCTTTTTTTTGAAATGTTGGAAATTTACAGTTTTATTTTTGAATTTATTAAATATTTTTTTTAAGTTTTTAATTTTTTTTTAATTTTCACTATATTCTTCTTTCTATCTTTGTATCCTTTGATCTAAAGATCCAAGATGCTGTAAATATTTTTCACTTCCATTTATTCTTCTTTTTTGAAAATGATCTGAATTTAATTCGGAATTCATGTGTTACACGTTTTCTTTGTTTTTACATTTTTTTTTCTTTTTTTGTTTTCTGGAAAATAAAAAAATTTCCGAATATGTAAAAATTATTTACAATTTCTTTTTTTTTTTTTGAAAAATTATACAAAGACTTTTACCTCTTTTATTTTTATACCCGTACGCATGTATGTTCGAAGGGTACACTAAATTTGCCTTACCGTTTGTAAAGCTAAGAAATAATGGTTATATGTTTTTGTCTGTCCGTTTGTCCGTTGCCCGTCCCAGTGATAACTCAAAAGCTAATTCAGTTAAACTCACCAAATTTTCAAAATTTAATAAACTCTGGGACATAGTTAAACAATTTCAAAATTTATTTTACTATGTCCCAGAGATTATAGAAGCTATGGTATGTTATTGTGGCTATTGTGTTTGATAAAACTCGTTCCAATTGTTTGGTTCCTTTCGGTTGCTGCCATATAACTTGAAAAATTACAAGCAAATATATTATTAATACGGTTATATTTCATAAAAGTGATTTAAATTTCCCAACTTTGTCAGCTCAGTGATTGTTCATTTTCCAGTAACTATTAAGGCTACAAAGCTGAAATGTTGAATAAACGAATTTGTTTATGTGGCCATTATTTTCAGTAAAACTCCTTTGGATTGTTTGAGTTTATATGGTAACTACCAGATAAACTCACGCTCAACTATGTCTATTCTTGCCAACTAACTCTTCAATTTGAATTTTTTTGAAAATTTTTACATTTTATTAGCAAAAAAATATACGAATATTTTTTTACAAGTTCATTGAAATTTCAAAATGTTTTTTTGAACTACAGTCGAACATGCTTATATGCAAACTTAATGTATACATATATGTACATATATCCGTGTTGGGAAATTGTCCATTTCCTATTGGTCATGGCTTTTTATTCAAAAATCTTATAAATTTCAGAATAAAATCAATTCCGAAATTCGAAATTTTATACTGGAAAATAAAATTTTTTTCAATTGTATCCCAAAACCTCAAGTGATGCGACTAGCAAAATAAACGGGGCTAATGGAATAAACTGTTGAGTCTAGCATAATTATAATATGTAATTATATAAGTAGATGTCTAAAGAGCTCATTTTACATTCTAATTCAGAAACTCTCTTTTATAATCCACCAAATACAAAAAAAATTACAATTTTTTAATGAAATAAGCCTTAAATCTTTCACACACCAAAGGATTACAAGAGATTTACTCAAAAGTATAAAATAGTTATTAATTTATAAAAGAAAAATTAATTCAAATTGCAAAATTAGAAAAGTTTTCAATACCTTACAATTAGAATAAAAAAAAATCAATTACTTTCACTTTTTGTTCACATCGT